GTGGGTTCTTGGGGATGGAAGTGGCGACGAATGGCCGGTTGATGGGCGTGTAATAGTTGCCGAAAGCGGAGAGACGCTGAGAGAAGAGGTTGGAGGAGTGGTGTTCTGGTTCGCTGCGATTGCGAGTGTGTTGTATTCGGCCATATACCACGCCCTCCGGGCCTCTCTGCATGACGACCCTCTCTGCCTCCTCTGTCATTCATTTGACCCCACGACTGCGACGACAAGCTCATGACGATTCCTCTATGCTACCTTCTCCCAAAAAACAGTGGTGGACAACCAGCGACGGCTCCGTCTTCTTGCCTACACAGACATCCTCTGCCGTAACTGCCTCATCTCCGTCTGCCAACTCCTCAGCGACTTCAGCGACCTCAGCGATACCCTCTACTACCCCTACGTCTTCTGCAACGGCGGCTGCCTCTAGCGACACCGCGCAGACTTCACCCATAGCATCTAGCGCCACTGGTTCCGGACCTGGATCCCTCACCTCTACCTTCACGACCTTCACCACATCTGTCCCTGTCACTGTCTCCGATGCATCTACGACATTTACTACGTTTTCTCAATTTACGATCACCTCTTCGCGCGTCTTCACCGCGTTTCCCGACACCCAGACCGTCCAAGCCGCTCTCCTTGTGGATCCCGTCTGCATAGGCGACGGAGTAGACGCGTCTTCGCTCGGGTTGCTATCTGCCCTTCTTGTTCCATCTGCTATTGGCTTATTGATATGGGTGAGCAACATTGCGCGACCGTACATCCTGGCATGGGAGCGCAAACGCGATTTCTGACCATGTTATATAGTTATTGTTTGCTATTCTACGCCCTCGCTATCGACAAGTGTATGGTCTTAGAGAATGGTTCGTGCAGCAGAGGTGAGTCTTCGCTCGACGTAACACGCCTTGGACGCTTGATTAACGCGTCCCAGCTTCCGGCCTAAGCCATTAGGCCGGTCCTTCTGGGCGTTCCTGTTTCCCAGCGTCCCCCTAGTCCCTTCCCTCCCTTCGGACGTATCCGACGCAGGTCGGTCGCCCGCAAAGGATGCTCGTCTATTCCCCTCCGATGAGCAACTCAGCCAACGCATCCTGTGGATCTGCACCCTTATCGCGGCCGGCTGGACGGTGCTCGCACTCGCAGGTTTCCTCCCTCTATACATGGTCGATACGCCATGCCTCGCGCACTCCATCCCTCAACCTCGTTTCACTGGGGTATACTCCGTGCTGCAAGATCTCAGCCTCCTCCGTCTCCTCCACCTACTCGACGCGGGTCAGGTGACCACGACCTCACTACGCGTCGCGTTCTTCGCGCGCGAGGTTGTGGACGGCACCGACGAGGCACCCAAGGCGCGACTCCGCATCATCATTGCCACCGTACTCGCTATCGTGCTCGGCCTGTTGCCCGTGCTGTGGAAGGTCCTGAAGGAGTTTAACAGGACGGTGGCGTATCGCGAGCGGTGGATGGAGGTACGCTGTCAGGGCTTCGAGATGGGGTGGCTGAGTGCGCGGCGCGCCCCGGGCTTCGTGGGATGGGGCGAGAAGCGGCTGAAGGACCACCTTGTGAAGATGGGCCTCAGCTCCTGCTTAGACGCGGCCGACCGAAATGCGCGCTCCAGACGCCGGAGACGCGCGCAGGAGCTCAACAACGAGGAGCGGAGCAACTTCGAAATTGACGTCCAGTCGCTTTTCTCGATTGGGTGCGTATTCCATGAATACATTTCCTTCGACTCAGCTAACCTCTTCGTTTCAAGTGATACTGGGCACCTTGCGCTTCTCATTGACGAGAGAGATGAGGTTCTGGAGAACCTCGAGGTTGCGGAGACCAAGTACATCCATAGCTTCCGCCTCACAACTCCCGACCCGTCTATACTTGACTGGGAGCCACCCGTACCCCCACCGAAGGAGGAGCCTGAGGGTCCACCTCGGCCTCCAATCAGTCGGCCCCTTCCGCTCGCCAGCTCCGCAGTACGTACTGTGCATGTGCGTATGTCATACGAAGACACTGATCGACTCCAACAGAGCCACCGCCGCAGACGTCGAGGCAGGAATCCTGCGTACGGATCGTCGTCGCTGCCACCCACATCATACGTGATGCCGTACCAATTCTACAAGATCACTGATCTCGGAGGCATTTCCGGTGGCCAATTCACTGATCCAGAAAGGGACCTGCCTTCCTCGGCCTCGCGCCGCTCCCTTCAGCCCAGCTTCACGGACAGCGTCAGCAAGCGCGTAGTCGGCAGTCGATTCCAGGAAGTCAACCGCAACTCCGCGGCGTACGGGCGCCTTCCTCTAGGCAGCCCGCTCAAAGTCGACGGCAGCGGCGAGCTTACACCGGTCACCAGCGAGCACACGCACGTAACTGGCGACGAGCACGACACCGACCCGGTTCCGTACGGGTACGATCAACACAGCTCGTGGGACACGTCGGGCTTTAGAGGTAGCGTGCCGCCGCAGGATTGGCTGCGGCACCCACACCAGCACCCGGATGTCATTCACGAAGACGAGGAACCGGAGGACGAATGGCATGACGTCCTGCAGGAAGACCCGGAGGCGTTCGAGCACGCCGAAGAGTATCCGGTGGAGGCACGCCGCCGCCCGCGTCCGCCGCGCACGCGGACCGGCGCAGGGACTCCAATCGAGGAGCACCGCGAGACGTTCCCAATGCGCAACCGCGCGGGGGTGGCGACCCCGGATATACCCCCACCGCATTTACGCTTGCAGCCAAGGCAACCGTTCGTGCGCCCGATCTCTGGTTTGGACCATGGTCAGCTGGGCCATATATATGAGGACATCCGACACTGGCGGTGGAAGCTCAAGGTTATCAACACGGAAATTGCTGAGGTGCAGCGGGAGTGTTACAATGACATCGCGGATGGCGCGAGGGTCAAGGGCTGGCTCATGGTTGGACGCGGGTTGAGGTATCTTCCTGGTATCCAGCTCATTGAGGGACGCGCGAAGGAGGACATCCGTTGGGATGAGCTTCAAAGGGAGGGCGACTGGTCGAGAGACTTGATATGGTGGCTGGCCGTCATCATGGTCGCTATCCTGCTTGGTGTTGGGCGTACGTTCAACCTCTCAAACCGCAGAGATATCTACTGACGCGAGTTGGTGTAGTCACAGCGGTGTCTGGACTGGCAGTAGCGCTCGCCCCGGACGTGGCTCACTACCTCCCATTCTTCATGCCGATTGTCACCGGGCACCGGCTGGGAGGTGGTATCGCCTCAAGCCTCGCCGCTGCAGTCGCCGCAACACTCTTCATCTCTCTCGCATTCCTCATCCTCCACCGTAAGCATTTGCATTGCTGTGCAGCGTCGCCGTTCGCTGACCGGTTTATTACCAACTTAGAACTCACCCCGTTGTCGCGCACGGTATCGGTATCCGGCTCCAAGCTACTCCAGTTCAAGACCATGTTCTACGTGCTCCTGGGTGTGGCAGGCATTTGGTTATTCGCTACCGGGGCGATCCTCTTTTCCATAAACGCCTTCAGCGTTGGCCTCGATGAGACGTCAGCGGTGGCGAACGGTGCCATCTACATGAGCGCGTTTGCTCTCGTCCTTGTCCTGAACGTCGCGATCATTTTCCCGGGACTGCTCCTGCTCCAACCCATCAGACTATTGAAGGTCATGCGCGCGGAGAGGGCGGCAGTGACTCCTCGACAACGCTTCCGAGGTGAGTTCGTCCCTCTACGCTCTACGACTATTCACTAACAGCCATGATGCATGATCAGCTGTATACCCCAGCACCTACGATCCAACATACGCGACAAGTTGTGCTGTGCTTGCCATCATCTTTGCTTCGGCCTTTGCTCTCATCTTTCCCTTGCTTGCCCCTGCTGTTTTGCTGCTGCTTGTCTTGACTCTCATCGGTTGGTGTCCGTCTATAAATTTGGCGAAGAACCCTGACTGATCGAGATTCATATTTAGCTCACAGATTCCTCGTTGGCTACGTCTATGGACGCACACTATCTCAGACCGGAGGTCTCCTCCACATGTGGTTCCTTCGCCGTCTCGGCACCGTCCTCGCCTTCCAGCCGCTCCTTCTCGGGCTGATCTTCCTCAGCCGCCGGATCTGGATCGAGGGAGGCATCCTGTGCGGCGCCGCCTTGTTCGTTGTTATCATCGTGGAGAGCTTCTGCAGTTGGAGAACACGTGTCCCTGGACGACGCTCTCTATCCCCGATCACGCAGGACTCCCTAGCGACGTTCGAGCATACCGCCTCACCCGGGAAGCGACAAGATGTGGACGAGGAGAGCACAAGCCTCGTCAGCTCCGCGAGGAACACTGCTCGCGCCCGAGGCTCGTTCGCGTCGGTGTTAGAGATGATGTCTCTGACGCTCGCGGTCTCCCCTTCTGCATCGGAAAGCAGGGGTCCCGTACCGCTCGGTAAGTCTACTCTTCTCTCTGTAACCTGTGGTGCGCTTTATTGACGAGCACGTTGCGCACTCCGCTCAGAAACCGAGAACCTCGATGACCTCACTGCGACCGAGCGGGCTGCGCGCACGAACCCAGACGCGCCACCGCATCTCCCTCCCCTCCCTTTCGCGGACCACGCCGAGGAGATGGCGGGGGTGCTCTACGCACCGGAGCTCCTCGCCCCGCCGCCCATGATTTGGCTTCCCAACGACGTCGGCGGTATCGCGCGGGCCGAAGCCTACGACCTCCAGCGGTATCACAACCTCGCTGTGACACTAGATGTACGCGCGAAGGAGGATCTGGCTCCGCGCCGCTCCGAGACGTCTGAACAGTCGCCGCATTCGAGCTCCCCGCACGCATTGTAGTCCTGCGATAGATTCATTTTGTTGATCTCCCATTTTTACTCCCTAGGAACCATTTACGGACCATTTACGACTGTAGTGCTAGGATGAACTCTCTGTATGCCTTACGATATGCCAATGTGTTGCGTCGGTGTAATACAAGTCTGGAAACCTGGACAACATGATTCGAGTGATTCTGTCCTGCCTGCGATTTAGGTTGGTGCCATGATCCTGCTCCCATCTCGTAGAGCATCTCTCTGGTCGTATATCGGTTAGTACACGCGCTTGTCATCCATTACGGAACGCGCGAAAGCGGGGTTCGACTCCCCGCCAGAGAGCTTTTGCTCCCCTTTCATCTGAACATCTCACAAACCAACCGTCGAAGGCATGCTTTTGCAAGCTACAGCGATGAGTACTTGTGGTACATGTTTTCCATCCGCACTCGGCATTCCTAGTGATCCGGGGGAGAGAGGAACACGTGGGAGTACGTAGATTGGAAAGGCGCGCGTCCGTGTTCCGACTCCGAGTCGTCCTCCGAACTCAAGCGCGTCCTCCGAGCCATCCTCGTCTCGGACGACGCTGTACACCTGCTCCCATCACTGCTCTCGGGGTCGTCCATAATGTCCTCATGCCAGCTATGGCTTTACGCTCTGCGCTTTTCCCACCTGTCATAGGACGCACCCTCTTCTCCCGCGGCACTTCTCTTTCCTTCCGACGTGCACCAAACTGGCACAAACCCTCGCACTTCCACACCCAGCTCGTTTCACGGCCTAGCATCCCCCATTCATTATTCTCCAAGAGGCTGCTCTGGATTGTGCCAGTCGCTGGTGGTATCGCCCTATATGCTGCTCCCCGGCCTCGCGAGAACCATAATGTGTTCGCCTCGCCAACTCTCATTCCCTGTCCTGCGCCGGTACCCCTGGAGCCGATGATCATGTCGCCCTCGGAGTCTGACCGTTCCCTTATGGGACGCATCTTGACTTTCTTGCGCGAGCGACTGATAGAGCCCATCCTCACGGCGAAACGATTCGTGTACCTGTGCTGCATCTTCGTCCCGGTCCTCTTGGCGGCGCCCATGCTCATCATTGGTCAACCGGAGGAACGACTGCGCGGCGACCGGTGGGGTGCAGTTTGGTGGTACGGGTTCCTCACTAGACAAATGCAATGCGCTGGGCCGACGTTCATCAAGGTGAGCAAGTGCACATATTGTCCCCTCCATGTTCTCTTTATGACATCATGCGCGTCTGTATACCGAGCAGTATTGAAGAAGTGTTTTATATGACCTCTTCGTTCGCGCTACAGCAGTTCATCATAGCGTTATCACTGCTACCTTATGTTCGGAGTGTTGTCGCTTGTGGCTTTGTCTGGGATGTATGCGCAGAACCAGATACTGATAATTCCAAACAGTTGGCGCAGTGGGCAGCTTCTCGTGCAGACCTCTTTCCCGCAGCGCTGTGCGAACGCATGGGTGCATTGCACTCCCGCGGAAAGGCCCATCATCTCTCACATACCAAGAAGGTCATTGAAGGGGTCTTCCAGAAGCCAATCGAAGAGGTCTTCGAGGAGTTCGACGAGACTCCGATCGGCACCGGTGCGATTGCTCAGGTATGTTCTGGTGGATTCACAGCGAGGTATGCGTTGCTCATACTCTCCCTAGGTTTACAGAGCGACCTTGAAAAAGGATCTCATACCGCCGTCCCATCTTTCACCGAAACGGCAGGGCAGACGGAAGGCGGTCTTACCTCCTGCGCTCACAAACGAACCTCCACCATTGGTGCCCACTGCCTCCGTGGCCATCAAAGTTCTTCATCCGCATGTCACGAAGATGATCAATAGGGACCTGAGTATCATGTCGTTCTTTGCAAACGTCATTACGATCTTTCCAGGGATGCAGTGGCTGTCGCTTCCCGAGGAGGTCGCGGTCTTCGGTCAGATGATGCAAGATCAGCTCGACCTGCGCATAGAGGCGGAGAACCTGGCCAAATTCGAAAAGAACTTCGAGGCTCGCAAGCTTCCCGTGACGTTCCCTCGGCCGCTCAAGGTTTGGAGCACGAAGGTCCTTCTGGTAGAGGAATTCGAGAATGCGTTGCCACTAGAGGCGTTCCTCAAGAACGGCGGCGGTCCATACAACGATACCCTTGCGGAAGTCGGACTAGATGCTTTCCTTGTGAGTTCATCACGATACATCGCATCTCCGACCTACCTTGACGGCTAGTGCTCTAGAACATGTTGCTTTTGGACAACTTCGTACACTCCGACTTGCATCCGGGCAACATCATGATCAAGTTCACGAAACCCCATATACCTCAAATGGAACGCTCGTGGACATCCCTCGTCAAGCGCCTCACAGGAACGACACCGAGCGTCATTGAACTGCCGTCGGAACCCGTGCCCGATCAAACGTCCGACGACGTAGTGAACAATCTGCGTTCGCTTTCAAACGAACCCGAGAAATGGCGCGCCGCGCTCGACAAAGCAAAGGAGGACGGCTGGCTGCCCGAGATCGTCTTCGTCGACGCCGGGCTTGTGACCACGCTGAACACGGTGAACCGCTCAAACTTCCTCGACCTCTTCCGCGCCGTAGCCGAGTTCGACGGGTACCGCGCGGGGACGCTCATGGTGCAACGCTGCCGCACACCGGAGCTCGCGATCGACGTGGAGACGTTCGCGTTGCGCATGCAGCACATCGTGCTCAACGTGAAGCGCAAGACGTTCTCGCTTGGGCAGATCAAGATCTCGGACATCCTCACGGAGGTGCTGAAGGCCGTGCGCAAGCATCACGTCAAGATGGAGGGCGACTTCGTGAACACCGTCATCTCGATCCTCCTGCTCGAGGGCATCGGCAGGCAGTTAGACCCGGAGCTCGACTTGTTCAAGAGTGCGCTGCCGATTCTGCGGCAGCTTGGGAGGCAGATGTCGACCCAGGAGACGATGACGCAGCTGCCTTCAGGAGATGTGGGCGCGTTCTTGAAGGTATGGGGTGTAACTCGCGTCGCTTGAGAGTCGAAATTGACAGTTTTGTGTCAGGTCTGGGTATGGATGGAAGCGAGAGAGTTCGCATCGGCGGCATTCGTCAACGCTGATGATATGGTCAAATATGACTGGTGCGTGCATGCCATTTTTTCGTGCGGAAGGACCGTCTGCTGATGAACGTGCTACAGGTTGACCCCGGCAATATAGACGAGACTACACAACAGCACTTTAGACATTTTGACAGTTGACAGCGGACAGCAGACTCGAACCATAGCATGTAGAATAGTCTACTCAAGCACGCATAATCTCCTCATTCACGATGACAATATCCCCATGAAGATCTCTAATCGCGGTTCAAGATACGATTCACGTTTCCGGCAGGTATGTCCTTCTACAATATTGTACAGCACAAGTATGACCATTCACAGAGGGCTCGACTTCTTCTGCTCAAAATGCTCCTTCCCAGTGCCCTGCTCCTCGGCGCGCCTGTGGCTGCTTTCACCGGGACGCGCGGGGGTCAGCACATCGGCCCAGCCGCGCTCGTACTGGTTGGCAGGCTTCACCGCAACCCCAAGCTTCTGGGCAGCATGAATGGCCCAGTGCGGGTTCCGGATCAGCTCGCGAGCGAGGAAGACGGCGTCCGCCTTGCCCTCCTTCAGGTACGACTCCGCCTGCTCTGGTTCAGTGATAAGACCCACGGCGCCGATGGGGATGTCTGGGTGCGCCTTTTTCAACGCCTCGGCGAAGGGGACCTGTGCGACAACGTTCATGAGCCACAGACCACGACAGCGCTCAGAGGAAGAGTACGAACCTGGTACCCGGGGCCGACGGTGATCTTCTGCTGCACCCAGTTCCCGCCGGAGCTGCAGTCGATGAGGTCGACGCCGAGCTTCTTGAGCTCGCCGACGTAGATGGTGCTCTGCTCGATGCCCCACTGCTTCCACTCGCCCGTGGCGGGGTCCTTCTCGGGGCCCTCCGCCCAGTCTGTCGCGCTGATGCGAATGAAGAGCGGCTTGTCCCAGGCGGCGCGCAGCTTCTTGGTGACCTGCAGCGGGAAGCGGAGCCGGTTCTCGAGCGAGCCGCCGTACTGGTCGGTGCGCGTGTTCGAGAGCGGGGAGGTGAACTCGTGCTGCAGGTACCCGTGCGCGGCGTGCACCTCGATGAAGTCGACTGGAGGTCCGTGTATCAGGTATGTGTGCGAGCGAACGTTTGGAGGTGAACGGACGTACAGCCGATTTCTTTGCACCGCTCGGCCGCCTTGACGAACGCATCGGTGAGGTCGGCAATCTGCTGCTCCGTCAGGGCATTGGGCTTGGGGTACTGGTCCGAGAACTGGATCTCGCTCGGCGCGTACACTGAGGGCGTTCAACAGCATGCAGTCAGCGCAACTGCTCCAAGAGGTGCATGTATGCGTACCATGGTCGGGCCAGCCGCCTTCGTCCTTGCCGGCGACGTAGGTGGGCGCCTTCCAGGTTTTCGCCATGTCGGCGTGCACCCAGGGCGCGTAGGTGGACGCCTTCCTGCCGGCATGCGCTAGCTGGACGCCGATCTTTGCGCCCTGGGAGTGCGCAAAGGCCACGATACGCTTCAACGGCGCCATCTGACTGTCCGTCCAAAGACCCTGGAACGCCACAGTTAGGCCGCCGCCCTTAATTTGAAAGAGGTTCGCGCCACTTACAGCGTCTTGTGGGGAGATGCGGCCCTCCGGGACCACCGCGGTGGCCTCCATGCAGATTGCGCCGAGACCGCGCGTAGCGTACCCCTGAACACAATCAGACGGGTGCGCGGTCAGGACGGCGGAAACATACACCGATGTGGACGAAGTGCCAGTCCGTGGCGTGCCCGTTGTCCGAACTGTACTGGCACATGGGGGACTGTGAGGGTAAGTAAGCTTTACCTTATCTCGTCTGGCAAGTACTCAGATGCGAACTCACGACAAAAATTCTGTTGTTGAAGGTCACGCCGCGCAAGGTAAGCGGCTTGAAGAGCTCGGGGAGGTTCGCATTCTGAGGGTATATGTCCTAAACGCGCGTTCAAACGTCAGTGCCGTTTGCTCTCTATCAGTCTGCACGTAGTACTGACCTTGGAATACGCTGTGCCGATGGTAGGCTCATTCAAGGAGATGAACTGGTCTATCCTGGGGACGGGCTTGTTGATGTGTGCCATGCTGCGATATGCAGAGAGTCGAGTGGAATGCAGGGTAGTGGAACGCCGGGTGCGGAGCAGATACGACTGGTGGGTCAAGACACGTCGAAGGGGTGCGCTGGTGAGCATAGGCAGGATTCCTCTTATTTATATACTGAAGCGGCCACCAGTGGCGGGGCCCTCGCAGTCGGACGGCCGACGGTTCGCTGCTCGCGTTCGG